CAGTTGTGACTTGCTAAGAATTCATGCAGTAATTTCAACACTTAAAACACACAATTAAAATACTATAGTGTCTTCTAAGCAATTAAACATGACCTCGGCCAAAAGCAAGACTCATCTTGCCTAACAGAAAGTCAATCCAAAAGGCTTTGTATGAATGAATGAGTCTTTTAGTGCAGTTCACATTTTAGGCAGATTCCTTTCAGTTGTGACTTGCTAAGAATTCATGCAGTAATTTCAACACTTAAAACACACAATTAAAATACTATAGTGTCTTCTAAGCAATTAAACATGACCTCGGCCAAAAGCAAGACTCATCTTGCCTAACAGAAAGTCAATCCAAAAGGCTTTGTATGAATGAATGAGTCTTTTAGTGCAGTTCACATTTTAGGCAGATTCCTTTCTTAACAGAAATGTTTATTTTAATGAACATAGTGAAAAATAAAAGAGAGGAAAATACAAACAGTGTGATGAAGACACACCTCTTCCTTAGACCTTTCATTATAAAAATATATAGACTAGCATCTTGCACAATGACCAAGGTTTGGATAAATACTAACAACACTATCTTGAGTAAATTATAAAAGTGGACATTTCAGGGTGTGTAAACAAAGTCCTTTGGATAAGGTAAGGTGCAGCTCAAAAGAAGAACACCGACATAACGTTTTAGCCTCATAGCTCGGCCATCCAGAACGTAAGCTGTATTTCACCTGTTAACATGCTTTCATTGACGATGCAGGTACCACTGACAAGCACTGCATCACAGGGCATGATTGTCCCATTAGATGGGATCACCATGACGTCTCCAGGCACAAGGTCGGTGGAAAGGATCTCTTCTATTTCTGAAAGTAAAATTTTAGAACAAGCTCTTTTTCTGCAACAGTAAATGAAGTCTTGCAAATCAGCAGTTCCAACAGACCCCTCCATGAATATAACAGCCATGATCCAAACTGTAACAATTATGCTGCTGTTTCCATTATTAATTGTATAACTTAAAATGGTTAAACCAATGATTCCTCCTGCATGAACCCTTGGTTTTACACTGACGGGTGCTTCAGAAAAAACCAATATAATAAACAATTTGCCTCACAAAGAACCTAAGGCAGCTCAACTCTTGTTCCCCACACAAGAGCGGCCAGGCGGAGTCAGCCCAAAGGTCCATCTAGCCCAGTGTCCTGTCTGCCCACAGCGGCCAATGCCAGGTGCCCCAGAGGGAATAATTAGAACAGGGAATCATTAGGTGATCCCTCCCCTCTCATCCATTGCCAGCTTCTGACAAACAAAGGCCAAGGACACCCTCCCTACCCAGCCTCGCTAATAGCCATTGATTGACATAACCTTCATGTATTTTGTGGAATCCTGTTATATTCTTGGCCTTCACACAACATGCTCTGACAAGGAGTTCCACAGGTTAACTGTGCACCATGTGCAAAAATACTTCCTTTTGTGTGTTTTAAACCTGCTACCTATTAATTTCATTTGGTGATCCCTAGTTCTTAGGTGAATCACACCAGCAGAACCTGGACCACCGGGAGATACGACAGCCAAAGATTACAGCACTGCTCAGATTCACTGAAAGGTACTTAAAAAAAAGTCTCCCCTTGGAGTTTCTAACTGTATCCCTTCAGCCATCAGTAGCCTATTGCAATGGTAGTTGTATTCATAGAGAGGGACATAAGAGAAAACGGAGGAGGGACACGAAGGGCCAGTCTACATCTGCTCCAACATAAATCTTGAGCTGATCATCTGTGAGCGACACTCAAGTAGATTATCTTCCCCCCTTGAATGTCACACCTAACCCCTTGGCCCAGCAATGCTGCTAAGAGGTCACAAGGCCCGGTTACGTTAAGCACATGGAGCGGGGCCAGTTTGTGTGTGTCTCTTCAGCCAGGCAGCCAGAGCAACTTACCTTGGTTCGCTCGACCAACAGACACTCTGACAATGCTGTGAGCTGCCACCATGTCATGTAACAATATATATTGCTGGAGGGGGAAAGAACAAGGCGTTAATCAGCGGCAGCAACAGCCCTCTAGCGCTAGTACCGCCTGGCACTCACACAGGCACCCTCCAGCTCCACGGAGCTCCGGCTCAGCTCTGGGACTGTTCTCCGGAGGGGCACGGCTGCATTCCTGGGGGTGAGCTCCAGGAGTTAGCACGTATCCCAAGGCGCATTCGAGCTGAAGTGGCCCTTTCACTCATCTCCAGTCATAGGAGGAAAAGGAAGGGGAGGGGCAGAGGGTTATGGGTTGCTGTAATAAGCCCCAAGCCCAGTGTTTCTATTCGGTCCATGACTGGTAATGTCTAGCAGAGCAACTAAGCTCCCAGGCTCCACGTCTGAAAGCGTCACGCAGGTTTCTCTGGCCACTCAGACAGAGGGCCGGCTTCGTGAAGAGGGCTTGCCCACAGGAGTGACAGGGTGGCTTTGCCTTTTATCATTTCTCTGTGTTCATTCGGGAGCAGTTTTACCCACGTAGTTGTTACTGGGGCCTGGGATGAGCTATACATGGCATCCTGGGCATATGTAGACCCCTGGGTCTGGAGAGGTGTGTTGTGCGTGTGGTGGGGGAGGAGGTGGTTGGCCGTCTCACAGGAGAGATTTATCTGCAGGATCTGGCACAACTTTTGAGTTGGTGGGTCCATGTCTGTGGGGAGCCAGCTTCTGAGGATGTGCTGGGAGGGGTAGGAGTTTGTTTAGAGGCTAAAAGAGGTGGGTTCAAGTATGGCCTGTAGTTGTTGAGGATACGTCACTCACATAGCTTTCAGTGCGTGGGGGGAGGTGCCAGCTAACAGCGTTCGAGAGGAGGGGTTTTATTTCTACACTGAAGCAGGCTCACTGGGCGGCCCAGGCAATAATGTGGTCTACCTCTCTTGTGGAGTGCCCATGTTTAGCGAAAGCGGCTCTGAGTGGATTACGGTGCATACTCTGAACTGTCTCCTCAGAGCACAGGCCACGGTGTCTGAGCACCTTGCTGTGTGGAACACAGTGCCTGCTGTTTGATCTGTGAAGGCAGGTGCACAGCTGTCGACAGGGTTCCAGGACTGAGGCTGATTATGGGGGCCAGGACGTTAATGCTAGTTGAGAGTGTTCCGGAAAGCGTTTATTGGATGGGTGGTGGCTGTTGAAGCTGTGGTGAAATCTATGAGGGAGTTTCAAGTCACTCCCAAGAAGATGAAAATATCCGTCTCTCTCAGGCAGCAACGGTTTCATGGTCCATTTGTCCAAAAATTCTCCTTTAAGGTGGCCCATGAAGAGGGTGGCTGACTGGGGACCATGCTCGTACCCCTGGCTGTTCCCATGGTTTGGACAAGGGGTTGGTTGTTGAGTGTAAAATTGCTATGGAGGAGTATGAAAGACGACTCTGGCCATGAAATATCTGAGGGTTAGCCACTGCCTTGGAAATATTTGAGGCCAGCTGCCGTACCGTCATTTTGAGAGACACTGGTGTTTAGGGAAGTAGCATCCGTGGTGGCAAGGAGGCTTTCTAAGGGAGTTTGTGGAGGAAGCTGGTTGTACCCTTGGAGAAGCCAGCCGTTTGTGTGATCAGTGTTTTGAGGAAGGTTTAGTCCGTGCTGACATTCCTTCAGCAAGAGTGGTGTGGCCAGACATGCTGTGTTTGCCTGGATTCTCTTGTTTATGTAACTTGGGAAGCATGCAGAAGTTCCCCGGGGCAGGCTCTCGTGGAAAGAGTTTGTAGAGTTTCTCAGAGTCATTTGGCAAAAGATCTGATCACTTAAAATTCCTGAGTAAACTGTAGTGTGGGGTCTTCTTTATAGTCTGTGGTGGCAGAATTGGTTGACACTGTATATTCTAGATCCATACTCCACCATCCATACCATAGAATAAGATTCTTTAAATGACTTTGAATTGCATTGCACTATGGGAACCCTGTTATACAGAATGTATCAGAATACGGAGTTGGGCCAAAAAAGCTGCAATGTGGAGTACTCTTTAAGGAGTACTGCAAGGTCCATATATTTACCCAGACTTCTAGAGAGGTAGTGAAAACTCACTGAATATATTCTAATTAAAGTTGATCAAGTTTTCCAGTGAAACTTTGATTCCTCAGAAACCGTCGATTTGTTGAGCCCAATATATTTTGGGTTCACTGACGTTTCAGTGAATCCAAGGCAGTGTTTCCACACCGGGGAGCTAGTGACTCCAGTTCTGCCAGGTTCACAGCTCCAGGACAGACACACCTAGGAACTGAGATACAAACGTTGGCATTTCTAGGATGAAGGGTTCAGGGCAGACTATTTTGGGGCAGTTTCTTGTTTCAGTGAGAAATTTAAAAGTGTCAGTTTTGATTTGATCCAACTGATTTTTTTAATTATCATATTTTTTGACTTAGCTCTCAAACCAAAAAATGAATTATTCTCTCTGCTCTAATCTAATGCAATCATAGTCACTAATGCACACACATCCAGAGAAATGCAGGTTGATTGTGAATGTTAATTGCTGCTCTTTTAAAAACCCCAAAAAGTCTTCTCTAACCTTGAGCATGGCTTTGAAATGGTTCCAAGGTTGTTCTGTCTTTAAAACCCCACAAACTGTTCTCTGACCTTCAGTAACCACAACCCCCTTCTGTGCTCTGAAAGCAGATCTCCAAGGAAGAGTCACTCATGAAGGGTGGAGCAAGCAGTATCAGCAAACAACCTTCTTTTGTAGGTGTTGTAATCAATAGAGAGACTGAACTAGGAGTTGCAGGGTCACTCCTCCCTATGGTCAACAGGAGGCAGAACATCCTCCATGACCAACCCCAAAGCCACGTTTCCAGTTTGACTTTTCTATATCTACTTATAGGGGTCAAACTGAGAAACCAAATCCAAGCTTCCAGGAACTCTAGATCAGACTGCACCCAATTTTCATACTTTGGACCGTTCACTTCCCCGCATTAACTCACATACAACAAATTTTTGCAGATGTAAAGAGCATCTCCATCAAACAACAGGCAAAGGATTCTCAGGCCTTGTCCACTTTTGAACACACCAGGAAGTTTGAAGTAGGGTTTTCAGGGAATGATTCTGAAATGGATACTCTAGTAAAAATAGAATTTGTGATGATAGCCACCAAGGTAATGTGAACTTACCTTTCTGATGGTGTACAGTGAGCTAACAATAGATATCACAGACATAATCACAATTGCAAATGCATAGTAGTAATATTCATCGGTGACCCACACTATCACGCTGAACAGTTGGAAAATGTAAAATGGGTTTAGAACCTGAGAGAGAAAGAACATACTAAGGTTACATCAAATGTAACATGTCTCCTAGAAAAGCCTGAAATAAATTAAACTTATTCGCAGTGAGAAAAAGTTAGGTTTTTCAGTTCCTTATGCCTAGGTCCTTTCATTTTTGGTTTTATTTTCTTTAATTTTTCCTGCATATTTATTGGTCTTTATCACCACCACCAAAAACAGGTGAAAAAAAAAAATCAGTGAAAAAAACAATTTTCAGAATTAAAAAACCCAGTTATCCGTAAAAACAGAATGCTAGTCATTTGTGTGTACCGCCAAAGAAAATAGAAAGATAATGGAATAGGCTTAACATGCAATTTAGATCCACTTCTCTGATGGATAGTCTCGGTGTCTTTAATGTGTTTACAGTTTGAGAAAAGCATATTTAATGCCAAGAGTGGAGAAATGGCAGGAGCCGCCATGGCATGGGGTTTTGATGTGTAACTCTCCACAGAGAGCCCTCACATGATCTGTAATGCTCTTGTTCTTCGACTCAGATTTGGACTCTGGACCCATAGAGTTGGTTCCCCCAACCTGTAGATCTAAGAAATATTCTCACTTGTAAAGAAAAGGGCTAAAATTTACTTTATACATAATAGCCCCCTTTGAAATCCGACACACATTCAGTGCCACTCTAACTCCAAATATTCATTAATTCTAGATACGGCTTTTTTAATTTAAAAGAGTTCTTACCTCCTTAATCAGAAGCTTAAAAATTGAAGGCACTTTCACACCAATTTCATTTACTCCATAGAATACTTTTCTGTATGGAGGGAGAGACAAAAAGTTAGTTGTATTCTGGTTGTAGATAATCTATACCACAATACCTTCCATTATTTTAAAGCACTTTATATCTTCCCATTTATTTGAGTGTGTCAGATTGTCTTTCACACAGTCGCTACAGCCTTTTAAATGCTAGCTAAGGATGTAGCAGCAGTAAATAGAAAAAATACATCTGGATGAGATGCTGCAGGCCTTGAACATGAAAATATTTATGAACTAGATATAAATTGAACCACAATCAAATATTCTGGAAATGTGAAAAAAAATCAGAGAGGTACTAAACATACAACAGAAAAAAACCCTAAACAAAGTGACCTAAAGAGATTAAAACTGAGATATGTGATGTTCCACATAAACACAGAATATTGAGAAGAAAAACACATACAAAACCAAGGAAATAGAGAGTAAGAGAAAGATATAGAGAAAATAGTGAACAGCAAACCACGTGTACAGGCCTTGTTTGGACACAGACTGGCTAACCTTGTGAGGCGGGCTTTAAACTCACGTGTAAGTGTGAGGTTGTTGCCAACATCCCAAGATGCCCTTAAGCAAATCAATAGTAACTACTGGACGCTGAGAATGAGGAGCTCAGGCGGTGCTGTCATCTACCCTGCCAGCTGAAGGTAGGCCCCAGGGAGGGACCCACATCTGGAAGACAAATGCATGACCACAAAGATTACGGTGCCTGGAGGGCTTTGGTGTCCTCGGCCACAGGATGGTTCTCCATGAAGGACGACTGCCTTGTCCACTTGACACAGAAATGGAAGAGCCTTTTGGGACATCAATTTGCCAGTCGAGGGAGGATGACTTGAAACGAGCTGCAAAAGGGGCCAGGTAACAAAAACCCATAGGCAGGAAATAAAAAAGGTGACCCTGAAGAGGGCTGGAAGCAGGGAAGGAGGAGGAGACACGGAAATTTACAGTAGGGTTACAGGAGTAACACGAGGGAAATCTGTAATGGAATCAGCTCTCCTCAGACATTTATACACAAATGCAAAAAAATATGGAAAATAAATATGAAGAACTGGAAGTCTCAGTAGACTGGCTTAACCGGCATCTAGGGAGTGGATGGGATCGATCTCGCAACCAGAATATTGGAGTTTGCTTGTTCAGAAAGGCAGGCGAGGAGACAAGGGAGGCGGCACTGCATCATGCCTCAGGAACGTATCTACTTGTTCTGAGGCCCACAAGGAATGGAGTTGAAAGGCTCTGGGTGAAGATAAAAGGGGTCAGCAGCAGGAGAAGGTCCTGCTAAATCAGGAGGAGCAGATGGAGGAGGCATTTCTAGAACAACAGTAAAATATTCAATACACAAGACCTGGTGGTAATGGCCCTTTTACCTCCCAGGCAAGTTCTGGAGAAGTGATGTGGTGAAACAGCATATCCAGTAAGTGCCTGGAATGCACTAGGGACTGCTCCCTTCAGATGGAGCAACTCACTGGGGGACTTCCATTTTCCACTCGATTCTAACTGACAGGGAGGAAATGGTTGCAAATCTAAGGTGGAAGAGAACTTGGCTGCAATGTGTTCTCTAGTCTTTTCAATCCATATGTGGATTTTTTCCAGCCATGTGTGGAACAAATGTTGAATGTGCACTGAGGCATGTATGAATGTGCACCACTAGTAGAAACCTAATTGTGGGCGCGCTGCTGATAAGCTGGGCAGCGTCTGAATCTCTCCTGAGCTGCTGTACAAGCGCTCAGCTTACAGGGAACACTGCTTGGCTGAAAGGATCATGAACTGATAGATTCACGAGCCTAAGGAAAGGAAGGAGTGACAGCCGACACTGAAACTCACAGGACTGGAAGATAGGTCCCACGGGGGAAAAGGAGTTCAAAAGAGCTGGCATTTCTCAAAGAAACAATATTAAAGACAACAGCTAGCTAACTCAATGCAAAGACAAGACAGAAAAAAGAGTCAAGGGGCAAGAGGAGCTCTTTAATGATCTGAACAGCAAAAGGGACCCTAGGCACACCAGAAGCATGGACACAATGCTCTGGAGGAGTACAAAAGAACAGTGCAAATGCATAAGGAGGAGAATCAGAAAGGCTAAAGCATAGAATGAGTTACACTCAGGAAGGGCCATAAGAAGAGGCTCTGTAAACGCATTAGGAGTTTACTCAATACGGTTTGGTCCAACACATGCTGCAAAGAATTCCACGAGAATATCACAAAACGTGAAGGGGCAAGAAAATGTCAGATGAAAGTCCATGTTAAGAAATGCAAAGTAACGCACAACAGGAACCAGAACCCCAGCTCCACATATCAAATGAGGGGATCTAAATGTAGTTGCTTCCCTTCAAGAAAGATCTTGGAGCCATTGCGGATACTGCTCTGAAAGCATCCCCTCGGTGTGCCTGAGCAGTCCAAAACCAACCAGAATGCTAAGAACCATTAGGACGGGGATAGAGAATGAGACAGAAAATATCATATTGCCTCTAGATCAGAGTATGGTAGGCTCATACCAGGAACACTGCATGCTGGGGTGGCTGCCCTGTCTCCAACAAGATACATTTAGAATTCAAAAAAGTACAGAGAAGAGCAACACAAATTCCTTGGGGTATGGAATAGCTTCCAGATGAGACATTGAAAAGCCTGGGACCGTTCAACCGTGGAAAAAAGACAAGTGATAGAGGTCTATACAATCATGACTGGTGTGAAGAAATGAATAGGGAGGTTTTATTTACCCTTTCATATTACACATGAACCCAATGAAATTAGCAGGCAACAAGCTGAAAACAAACAGAAGAAAGTGCTTCTTCATACAGCACAAGGCTCCTTGCCAGAGGATGCTCGGATAGCTAAAAATATAACTGGGCTCAAAAAAGAGTGAGTTAAGTTCCTGGAGAATAAGCCCTCGGTGGCTATTAGCTAACGTGGTCAGGGATGCAACCCCTGCCCTGGATATCCCTCCACCTCCAACTGCTAATAGCGGGATTGGACAACAGGACAACGCTCAAAGGATCCTGTTCTGTAGTCTAGAACGAGCCCTTGGTCTGACCCAGTATGGCTGTTCTTATGTACATTGGGTGTACCACACCCAGTCTCTTCCCAGCCCTGCCCCCGCTCACCCACCTTCCGGCACACGTGACTGAGTTCTGACTCCTTTTGGACAATTTGTGAACGGGAAAAGATTATTAAGCATCACAAGAAGAATTAAGCAATTAAAGCCTTTATTTTTCAAAGACAACTGCCATTGCCGATTCCATTGTTAATAGCAATGCTATCTCTGAAAAACCAGTCTCAGAGAGAAAATATAGTTCTAGCCATATTCAGTGAGGATGTAAGCAGTCCCAAAGGAGATCCCTCACATTTAGTATATCTCCTCAGTTCAAGGCTACACATTGTCAAGTCTTCTTCTGAAAGGAAGTTTAATGCCCAAACAACACACACTGATCACACTTTAATTCATTATGAGAAATATTCCAGAAACACAGCTGTCCATCCAGTAACCATGTGCCTTTCTGACATCTCTTTAACGCATATGCGAGTCTGAATATTGTACGATTACCTGTGCTCATGCACCCACTTAGTCAGTCCAGTACTATGTTCATTGTGAATTGAAGAGCAGGAAGTAAACTCATCCAGTCCCCTAAAATAATGGTAGAAATTAAACAAGTTCTCAGTAACAAGCTTCTTAGGCTAATGTTATTAAAAACAAACCATTAAAATGCTTAGGAATTGTTGTAAAGATGTTACATTTATAGCAGACGTTCAAGTTGCCTTATATAAGAATATTAAAAAGCAGTCAGCTAGGATTGTCATTTCCCTCATTTTTGCCTAGTTATTGCAAATATCAGAGAGCAGAAGACCACTGAATTCATTGTTTGGTTAGGCCAAGACTGCCCTGTTCACATCACTTATGTTTTTAAATGTAAATGCTTATTTCAAACACCGACTGGTGTAACTAGAACTGGAAGCTGCCACAAAGAAACAGGCGAGAATTCGGATTTAACAAAATGGATATGATATGGATTAGCTTTGGCCTATAAATTATTATTCAGATCCCTCCTTACATGCTTTGCACGAGGCCTACAGAAACTGACAACCGAGAGGCCCCGGGTACGATGAAACCACTGTCTTGCCTATTGTGCTGGCCAATATTATCTCACTGGTTCCTTCTACCCTCCATGCAAGCCCATTGTGCACACGCATTAGGGTACATTTTTGATTACACGACATACCAATTTTCCCACAGGACCTCTGCCTCATTCAGTGCACAGGATGGATTCAATATTTCTTTTTATCTTCATCGTTCACTGTGTGGCCCCACGTATTTACTGCACATCATCCAAACTACCCTAAATACAGAATTATTAGTTTCCTCGTGAGTTTCCTGTAGGGCTCATAGCATCATCTCCCCCTTTCAGAAAGGTTAATGAATTTCTCTTCACAACTCTCCTGTGAGCTGAGGTGGGATTCAGTTCCCCCATGAACAAAATGAGGAACTGGACACGGAGGGGAAGGCCAAACCGTTAAGTGTCCACGTCAGGCCCAATTGTTCAAATACTTAGCACTTCACGTGGTTGACAGCAGTGCTCCCACACACTCGGTTACAGTAGGGAATGCTTAGCTGCTCTTCTGCAAATCTGGCCCCAGGCGGGTGAAGTTGGGTACACAGAAAATGAGGAACGCACGGTGGCCATCAGAGAAACTCTGGTTGATGTGCCTTGCCTAGAATCACATAGAGCCTCTGGGGCAGAGGCCAGGATAGAAGTAAATTCTCCCAGGGAAGCTGTACCAATGCCCTCTTTTCCCTTCCTGCATGTCCCTGCCACATTCACTATGCACCTTCCAACTTGTGCAACAAATGAGACAGGGGTCCTACACTCACAACCTCATTGACCGCACATCCCGGTTGATTCCGAGCTCGTACGCTGCATTGCTAAGCCTAGTGCCACAGCAGCCCTGGCAGATGAGAGGCGCAGCTACACAGGACACCCAGCCCACCTCCTGAAGCCTGGGAGAGGGCACCCAAATTTAGTCTGTGGGATGGCATAT